TTCAATTCCAGGTTGTAAGAATTGAATTTGCTGCCATGGTAAGATTTGAACGTGTGTCTCCAAAGAATTAGCTTGTCTAGCAACATCAACACCTTAACACTGTGGCCGTCTTTATTGTTTCACAAAAATGAGACAAAGATGCTTGTAAATCTAGCCCAAGGCAGTGTGTGATATAAAGTGAATGCAGGCCTCAACTTTGAATGACAGCCACAATGGCATTGTGACACACAACTGTTACCACTGCAATAACAATAATTTGTATTTCTCTAGCATCTTAAATGCAGCAGAATGTCCCTAGATACTTCACAGGGTCCTTGTTAATCAAAATTTTACCCCATGCCACTCAAGGAGATATTAGGTGACCAAACGTTTGGTCAAGGAGGTAAGTTTGAAGGAAGAAAGTGAGATGGACCAGTTTAGTGAGGAAATTTCTGAGTGTAGTTACAAACAGTTGAAGGACTAGATCCTAATGGTGGAGTCTCTGAAATCAGGGATACTCAAGAGGTCAGAATTGGAGGAATACAGAGTTTTTGGAGAGTTGGAGGGCAGCAAGACACTACAGAATTAGGGAAGGGTAAGGCCACGGGAGATTTGAAAAGAAGATTGGGAATATTAATTAGGGGGATTTTAAGCAGGGGAGAATCGGTGGAAAGATCAACTATAAAAGGCACTTGCTGTCTGACCTGCTAGCGATTTTCCAGCATTTCTTGTTTTTATTTCAGATTTTAAGCGTCCCACAGCGTTTTGCATTTTTATTCTCCTGCTCTTTGACATAGTGGCAAACATCCAGTTGAAAGGGAAGATGGGGCTATGGTTTAATATCACATCAACTAAACTGTACCTCTAGCTCCAGAACCGACAGCCGAGATTAAGTGCTCAAACCTCTGGCATGTGAGTTGAACCCACAACCTTTCAAAACAACAGTAAAGAATGCTACTAACCGAGATATTGCTAACACCCCACCAAGTGTGTCTAACCTCACTGATTAAGCACACATACGAAGAATTGCCACTTCTATAAGGACTAGAAACCTGCTGGAATCTGTGGAACTTAACCCAGTCAAGAGTCAAGAGGCCAGGAGAGTAGAAAACAGAACTGGAAAAATATAATTTAAAAAGGCTTCTAAACTGCATGGCGCCATAACATAAAACCTGGCCATGAAGTGGCTGTATTTAAAGCCTTGAGCTTTGAAAACCAGATAATTGGGAAGTATTTGGTGCTTGGATCAGGATTTTTAAATTTAAATATTATGTTTGGAGCAGAAATTCTATACAATGGAAGTCATGGGAAGTGGTCTGGTACATTGCTGTACTTAGTCCAGGATTATGCTTGGATAGGCTTAACATTGATTTGGAGTTAATTTGAACAGTTAAGCAGCATACTGTAATTTTGTTCTTCCTACCGTAAATGAGACCTACTACCTCTATAAGTCAAAGGCAAAATAGGGTGGATGCAGGAGAAACACAGCGGGTCCGAGACCATTTGTGGAGAGAGAACTGAACTAACATTTCAGATAGTTCAAATTAGAGAATAAACACATTCCGTACAAGCAAAGGTCAGGTAAAACAGAATGGAAAATCTGTGATTCAGTCGAAGGCTGGAGAGATTAAGGGCATACAGTTGTGTTGTGCCTTTTTCAAGGCAGGGTATCTCAATTTGTGATTTGTCCACACCAGCTGTGGCAGACATAGGCAGTACATAAGCTCTTCTTCATTAACAATAATATTGCGCTGTCTATCCTGTACAATCAGTTGCGTACACAGGGTGGGTAAGGGGTGGTGGGGCTTGGTTGGCAAGCTGCATGTGAGGCAAACATGTTCTCCAGCTAGCCTCTGGCTCTTAAAGACAGTCTGTCCCTCTTAAAGGGAAGCTGCAGTGGAGAAGCAGGACTGCAAAAAAAAATTGAAAATCGGAAGGAGAAGGAGAATGGTGAGGCAGTCAAAGTTGAGGGCTCTAACATTCAGTGATGCCATTTTGGAGGTAGTGGTACATTGGTATGGCACTGTGTTAGTAATCCAGGCTGATGTCCTGAGGATGTAGGTTAAAATCCCACCATGGTAGATGATGTAATTTGCAATCAATAAAAATCTGGAATAAAAAGCTAGTCTAATGGTGATCATGTAACCACTGTCAATTATCATAAAAACCATCTGGTTCACTACTGCCCTTTAGCAAAGCAAATCTGCCATTCTTACCCTGCCTGGCCAGCAGGTAGTTCCAGATCCCCAGCAATAGTTGACTCTTAACTACTCTCTGGCTAATAAATGCTGACCTAGTCACATCCCATGACTAAACCGAAGACTACAAGTTGTAGTCAAAGAGACCGGCAATGTATCCATTGGTGAGGGGCGTAGGGTGAGATTGAGAATGGGAGGAGGTATGCAGCAAGTCCACCCATCAGTCCTCCAGAGAGATTGGGAATAGGTTTTGAGGGATGCCAATATCTAGTTCTGTCAATGAACACAAAGCATAGGCTATTTGGCCTCTTGACCTGACTTTGCCAAACCAGAACATTATGACTGTTGCCTTGACTCCAATTTTCTGTCTACCCCTACCACCACCCCTCCCAACCCTACTCTTCATAACCCTTTAATGCCCTGTCAATCAAAAAATTGTAGAACTCAGGTTTGAATATGTTCAATAACCTCCACTTTTCTTTGTATAAGAGAATTTTAAAGAGTAATGACTCTCTGAAGAAATAAATTCTTCCTTGGCCCCATCTTAAATGGAGATTTTAACCAACAAGCAATGCTGGTTGTTCAGGATAGACAACTCAACGCCATTGTTAATGAGGAAGAATTTATGTAAGACAAGCAATTCAACACAGGAATCAACCAAGTGAACCGTTCTTGAACTGCATCCATTGCGAATATATCCCTCCTAAAATAGGATATCAATCTGGCAGCAATACTGGAAAGATTGTAAATGACCTTGCATAAATGCATCTTCACATCATCTCTAATTCTCACCAAACCACTAACCTCTCATGCTGCTCAATGTAGCACACTGCAAACACTGGATCCAGGAGCTCTCGCTCAGGATTCATGTCAAACATTCATATATTCCTCTCCCCCACCCATATGAGCCTTCCAGCCTCACATCTGCCTTGCTCAGTCCCCACATATCTCCAGTTTTTCAGTTCTGACAGGCCCAAACAAATCATCTCACAAACTTTGACATGCTGCCATCTTTCTTGGACGACAAGATACACCATAAACACAGGGAGAAGCAGAGAAGCAATGCTGTGGAGGGTGCACGGGACAGCCTCCTATGAGTCCATGCTGTGGAGGTGGCAGCTTCAAGGAATTGAAAACCCAGATCCGACACATGTGGCAGCTCATGATGAGCAAAGGGTCCTAGATGGCTCCTTCTTTTCATCCTCCTCCTATAACTTACCCTCTCCCACCCATCACAATGTGACCTGTAAAGTCCCAATGCCCTTTGTGGTAGCTAGGTGATGGAGGACACAGGAGACAAACATGGAGCTGTGCCCTCCTGAGTGCTGGCGTATATCTCCTGAATAACCAGGCAATGGAACCAAAGATTTTCTCCACAACGTCCTTGTGTCATCTACTGCTAATGACTCTCTCTGTCACCCAACCAAATGAGGGTAGTACACCCAAATTCACTTGTCAGCATTCCACAGGGACTGTTCCCTCCTGGACAGCCTGATCTACTCCTCCTCCATTTCTAACACCTCCCCAACACCCCCAGAGCAACTTCCCCTGCAATCATAGAAGATGCAACACCTGCCCATCAACCTCCTTCCTCCTCACTATCCAAGGCCCCAGACACACCTTCCAAGAGAAACAGCGATTTACCTGCACTTCACTCAATCTAGTCTATGGTATTCACTGCTCAATGTGGTCTCCTCTACATTGGAGATATGAGATGCAGACTCAGTGACTGCTTTGCCAAACACCTTTGCTTCAGCCATAAAAATGACCCCTGGCTTCCAGTTGCCTGCCATTTTAACACCCCACCATGGTCCCCAGCTAACATGGTCTCAGGCTTGTTGCAGTATCCCACCCTTTCTCAGCCATTTTCAATTCTGATGAAAAGTCACTGGAGTCTAAATGTTAACTTTGTTTTTCTCTCCACAGATGCTGCCACATCTGTTGAGTTTCTCCAGCATTCTCTGCTTTTCTTTCAGATTTCCAGCATTTGCAGTGCTTTGTGTTTATTCTTGGGTGTTGGGTCTTGCTCCTATTGTAGGTGCACTACCCTTATGTGCTGCGTGGGCAAGGGAGTCATTAGCCTTAGGGGTATTATTTGCAATGGAAATTGAGTTTAACTAATGTGCTGGAGTTTTTTGAAGAGATAACCGAAAGAGTCAAGGGTAATGCTATTGGTATATATATGTGTGTGTGTGTGTCTGTGTGTGGTATTCATGGACTTCCAGAAGGCATTTATACATTGCCTCAGGTCAGACGTATGAGATATATAGGTGATGGCACACAAGGGACAGTAGCAACGTGAATACAAAATTGGCTGAGTGATGGGAAACAAAAGGGTAAATGTCAATGGTTTATTTTCGGGAAGGAGGATGGTTTGTAATGGAGTTCCCCAGGGGTCAGTATTTGCTTTCCCTGATATGTAGATTAATGATCTGGATCTTGGTGTGCAGGGGACAATTTCAAAGCTTGCAGATCTGATACAGGTACAATGGGCAGAATGGCCTCCTTCCACAAGTGATTTCTGTGATTCTGGATAGAAATATAGAGCTAACCTGTGGTTCTTTGTGATGGCCCAAAGGTGGCATGTGCAGCTGACTGGCACAGGATCACAACGAGGTAATCACCAGTGGTGCACTGGAGTTCAATTTTGAGACAATTATCGTTTAATTTATTACAACCTGGTTCTCAGTGCAGCCCAGCTAATGAGAAGAAAATTGTCTTTATTGTGGTTCTCATGTAAAGTGAGTTTGTCTGATTTTGCTTGTTTCTTAGTAGCTATAGTTGTTCTGCATATCACTAAGTCGTTTGTGCTACATTGTTGCATGAACAGAAAGTAGAATTAATTCCATTGGCATGATAGGATGTTCTAACACATTGGGTCAAAGCAAGGGGACTCTGCATTGCTCTGTGTTGCCTCGCAGTGTTTGAATTAACATTGGATGTAAAAAAAGTAGAAAAAAATTGAAACGGCAGCTATGCAATTGTAAGCAAAAAACTCAGCAAAAGATTTGAATACATTTGCGCTTTCTTTTCCAGTTTTATAGGTATAATTTGCATAAACAGTGTAAATAAGATTCACATTATTTTGATTACTGAGGGGGAGAACTGGAACTGCGGTTTTCAAAGAGTTAATGCAATATTGTGACATTTTAAAAGGCTTTTTCAAATGGAAGGAGGTTGCTGTGTATGTAATGTATGCATGAGTTTGAACAGAGAAACAGCGAGAGAAATTGTTACTTTGCCTCTTTCCCTGACAGTCTCTTACAGAAGCGATATCACGTTACATGTATTGTATAAATAGGAAGCCTGATTTCCGCTGGCAGATAGAAAATGCAGGTATCTTTTTACAAAGCTTCTACTTCACTCAGCCCTCGCGCCTTTTGCAGTGCCTCTGAAATCCCACACTCTAATCCCCGACTAACAAAGATCTGTTTCTTTACTCTGCAGAAACCACACTGCAGAGGTTGTGCGCGCCTCGGCCTGTAGGCCAGAAGCAGCCTGTTTACAATTTCCCTGTTCCTGTTTTTAATGTTGCTCTAAGAGTAGTCACAAAGGGGCAGTTTTGTCCTTTAGGAACAAGGGAGCTATTAGAGACAGACTGAGGAAGGAAGGAAGGGAGATCCAAGGGGAAAAACCCAGGAGGAATTAATGTATACTAGCATTCCCTGAGGGGCTGTGTGTTAGTTTGTTTTCTTACCTTATTTTCTCTTTTTTTTTCTCCCCTGTATTATTTTTTCTTCTTTCGTTATTCCTTTTGCTATTTGTTGCAAGCATTTGGTGGGGGTGGAGAGGAAAAAAGACTTCTTATTTTGAGCTGATTTTCTCTTTTCATCTATTAAAGGGTTAGCCTTGTTGCTGCAGTACAATTCCATAGCATCAACTACCCTTTTAGTACCTTGTGTTATGTGATTTTTTTTACTCGTGAAAATCCTTGGCTGCGAGCATGACATGCTGTTCAACTACAGGGGCCATCACATTTTAGTCCAGTCATATCTTTGCCAGGTATTTAAGCTCATGCACGCAATTTGAGCGAGTGTCACTGGACAGCCATTAAAAAAGAGAATCTTGGATGGTGTTCCTCCAGACTTTGCAGCTAATTGAAATCCCTCTACTAAATCAGCTCAGAGACTACATTTCAAACTGTCCTGCTCCGCTTAGCTTCGCTGTACTCTAGATAACCACAGAGACAGCAATGAGACATTGTCACATTTCTTGCTATGTGCTGTGTCTTTCTAAGTTCTGTTTCCTGTGTCCTGTTCCCAACGTGTGCAAGGTGAAAAGCTGTCAGTTCTGGTAATGTTTAAGTTCTGTACTACCAAATAATTCTTTTCATAATTCAACTTTTATCTTTTATTTCTTCTTTCCGATACAGCTGCACTATATTTGCATTTTTTAACCCTTCCCAATTTGTTTCTTTCTGTATTATTTGTACGACCTTTTATAAGTCTTTTAACATTTCTTGCCTTGAATCATAATTTTAATTTGTTCCATTCATCCACAGCCAAAGCCAAGTGACCATCCTTGGTCTCTGCCTAAATCCTGTTTGACATCTCTTCAGCAGTGACCGCTATCCAGAGCCAGACCTCCACACTGGATGTTCTTTCAGTGGGTGTTTGACAGAAAGCCAGCAACATTTGGGAAACTCATCCAAGCACTGCACATAAAACCCTTTCTTCCCGCATCCCAGAAACCCTTCAAAGTAGAAAATGGAAATAAGTTATGAGTGTTTTCCAGTATTTTTTACTGAATTACTGCACAGATGTATAAATCGAGGACACTGTCAAAAGTACAAATATAATCCGTTAAGATTTAGCTTCAAATTGTCAGTGGATTAAATCAGATTTTTTTTTTTAAACTCCAGGACTGCAGGGCTCCTCATCTTCAAAACAATATCAGAGCTGAAAAGAAAACTGTTACATTGCAATCCTCTTGGGCAGGTCTCTCCGATAATTTCACCTTTTTCCAAAGATCAACAAGTTTGTAGATATTCCAGTCTTTCACGTGATTCCTCACCATATGATATTAGATTTGTGAAGTTTGCTGTGGGTTCCATAATTGGGTTTCACATTCTGTTTTGCTTCTGTTGGGTACATCTCTACGATTTTCCAATTATGGTACCTAATTACTTTTTCCTACCTTGTTGTAAAGTGCTTTTGAACATCATACAGTTCTGAAAGATGCTATATAAATTTGGTCACCACTTCTATCACTCAATGCAGATTTGTCTGCAGATACCAACATCTATTCCCATTCCAGCACAAATGCAGTGGGCGAGATTCATATTCACTGAAAATATACCCTCTTCTCACCCTGACTCTTGTTTTGAACTGCCCCAATGACTAACCTTCATGTGTAGGTTTGTTTATGTCATGATTTTCGATGTGCTATTCAACCACAGGGGGCATCACATATGGGCCTTATAGTACCCTAATCTGAAATCAATCTCCACTGCACTTCTGCACTTTCCATTGGGAGTCACTGACCATTGATTTTGAATAGGAAACTGTTGTTGTTCTCTCTTGCAAACCCAGAAGGGGAGGTAGACTAACGAAAAATTGATTGAGTTCACCATTAATTGACACCACAACATTGAAAACTGAATTTGTAGCACTCTAACTTTTGAAACTGTCTTAGGGTTGGCAAACCCAACACAAGCACTTTGCAGGTAAGAAGGTGTACAGCTGGATGAACACAGCAGGCCAAGCAGCATCATAGGAGTAGGAAGGCTGACGTTTCGGGCCTAGACCCTTCTTCAGAAATGGGGGAGGGGAAGGGGATTCTGAAATAAATAGGGAGAGAGGGGGAGGCGGAAAGAAGATGGATAAAGGAGAAGGTAGGTGGAGAGGAGATAGACAGGTCACGCAATCTTTGGGTGGATACTGAGTTCTCTACCAGTTTTGCGAGGGAGCAAATGTCTTCTGTGCAGCTCCAAAGGGTCCTAGTAATGTAGTTGTATTTATTGCTATCATGCAATAAATCATCTTATTTCCTAAGGCAAGTGCCCCTTCTGTTTAGACTCACCAGTAGTGTATCCTGTACTGCTGATCAATAGATAGGCCCTAGACACAGAACAGACAGGAGAATTGGCGACAGCCCTTACATTTTGCAACAGACTGAATGTGGACAAACACATAACAATGTGACAGCAGCAACAATCAAGATAAATACCACGCTATCCCTATGATAAGTGGAGTGAACTCACACACAAGTCTGCTTTGCTTCTGTTATGTTGTACCTACATACAGGTGGCCTACCTGTGTCTCTGAACAATGTAGAATTGTTTTATGTATTTGAAGCCAATTAGCCTGCCTCTTTCAGTTAAAATACTTCTACATAAGTTTGTACAGTTTACTCTGATTAGTAAATTCCACTGAGGGATGGATGGTACAATTGCTGTATCTTTTGGGACAGCATTCAACTTCAACCAGGAAAAAAGTCATTGAAGGCCACCTCTCAATCACATGAGCATAGGAACCATAGGAATGTAGGAAGTGGGGTAAGAAATTCAGCCTCTCAAACATGATCTATCATTCACCTGGGCCATGGTTAATTTGAACCTCAATTTACTGTTCTTTGTTCAAAACATCTTGATGCTCGCTTAGCAAAAATCTATCTGAGTTTGAAAAGATCCAATTGTCACAGCACCTACATTTTCTTAGGAAGAACTTGGAAGAGTACAGGCCCTTGTGCCGACCTATTATCCTACTCTAAGATCAAACTACCCTGCATACCCTACATTTTACTATCATGCATGTGCCTATCCAAGAGTTGCTTAAATGTCCCTAATGTATCTGACTCCACTACCACAGCTGGCAGCGCATTCCACGCACCCACCACTCTCTGTGTAAACAGCCTACTTCTGACATCTCTCCTATACCTTCCTCCAAACACCTTAAAATTATGCCGCCTCGTAACAGTCATTTCTGCCCTGGGAAAAAGGGAGAGAATTTCAAACCTCCACCACCATTTACGTGGAGAAAATGCTTCCTGACTTTCTTTCAAAATGACGTAGGGCTAATTTTAAGATTATATCTTATTGTTATTTCTGAAGAAGGGTCCCGACCCGAAACGTCAGCTTTCCTGCTCCTCTGATGCTGCCTGGCCTGCTGTGTTCCTCCAGCTCCACACCTTGTTATCGCAGACTCCAGCATCAACAGTTCTTACTATCTCCTCTTATTCTTGGTTGCACTTTCACAAAAAACAGTTCAGTCAGTTAAACTTCCCTTAAGTATGTCATGTGTATTGTTCAACTTCACCTCTTTGGTATATTGGTGTAATTAATAAGACTTAAGATGACCAAATTGTACTGTACATAAGCTTAGCGATGAAAGGCCTTAAATGACATCTCCTTAAGTGCAGTAACTGCCATGTGGCTTAAGAGAAAAAAACCTTAAGTTGTGGTCAGAATGGGGTAAAGCCCCAGAAAGTCCAGGCCCCAGTTTAGATCTGAACTATTGTTAGTATTTAGGAGGGATGCAAGGCTGAGTGGCTTAAGGGAATGGTCTGAGCAACAAATTATCGTGGAAGGTTAGGAACACCTTCCCCATTGGTCAAGAGTTGTAACTTTTGTTTAAGGATTGTTGGTTCTTTTGGCACAAGTGTACGGAAATCATTTAAATGTTCCATTCACGGAGGGTATCCATTCTTAATTATATAAGCTAGTAATTTCCTGAGGCTGGCTGGTCTATAATTCAGTAGTTTCCCTTTTACCTTCCTTATATAATGGAATGCCATGCTCAATTTGTCAACTCAAAGAACTAGTTCAAGATCTATGTAACTTTGGAAGATTATGGTTTGGGTACTGCAATGATCTTGAATACTTTCTTTAAAACCCTGAAATACAAACTATTTGCTCTTAGGGTTTATATTTCACTCTTTTATGCCATTATTTCCTTCATTTCTATTGTTTTGCTAAATTTAATTCTAGTGAGATCCTGTGCCTGGTCCAATATTTGATTCACTGGGATTCCTGACATGCTGAACCCATGCTCGACCGAAAATACTGACAAGTTTGACTGACTTTTACTTCTAGGAAGTAATTATTTAACATATCTGCTATTTCATTATTTTAATTAACAACATCGATGTTAGCAGTTTTCAGGAGGCCCATATTTCTTCCAAACACATTTAATAAAGAAAATATTGTTATAAGAAATCTGTTTTGAGTTATCTGTCTTTATGTTCAATGTTGCCATTGGATCCTGTTCACTGATATGTGTATAGTTCAATTTTTATGCTTTTTGATGCAGTAAGTACAAGAGCTATACAGTTGCAAGGTGCTGAGTTAGTTGACATCATTGCATGCTGCAATGGAACAAAGGCTGACACGTATGTAATGCCATACATTATTTTGTCCAGCAATCTGGATGTATGTAATTCCAAAAACATTCAGTAAGCTCAACATTGTCCAGGACAAAGCAGCCTGACTAATCAAAAGAATTATATGTTAAATATATTTAAATATTGTTGAGTATTTATATTTTTGAAAAGGTACACCTTGGACAATCAGTCCCTCATCACTGGAGCACACTGTGCATTGTGCATCATCTGCAAGGTGCACTCCAGCGCCTCTTTTAACATCAGCTTCTTAATACCATTCCCTCCTCCCTCCCCCCCATGATCTTATCACCTAGAAGAACTACGGCAGCAAGCACATAGGAACATCACCACTTGCAAATATTTCCTGATGGTCATAAACTATCTTGACACAGAAATTAATTGTCATTATTTTACTGTTTCTGAGTCAAAATCTTGGAACTCCCTCCCAAACAGCATTGCAGATGTACCTACACCACATGGGCAGCAGCAGTTCAAGAAGGAAGCTAACCACCTACTTTTGAAGGACAACTAGGGATAGGCAATAAATGCCAGTGATGTCCACATTCTGTCAATTAATAAATACTTTAATGATCCCTGTAGTGTACCTGGGATCCATGGAAGCAAAAATTTGGAGTGGAGTGTGTGTTTAATCATTCCAAACCTACAACTTCAGAACTAAAAGGGGTTTCAAATGGTCATTAAATAAGTCAGTCACACAGACACCAGGCAGAGTCCAGATATAGAAGAACTGCACTTCTCATTTTCATCCAGTATAAGTATGACAAGGGCTTTACTGAGCTGTGTTCAATAATGTATTACACAGCTACCATGGGTTAAACTTAATATAACAGACAGCAAAGAGTGAATGGGAAGTGTCTAGTTTAATGTTGGAGTTTACATACTATGAAGCGAAGTTACACATTACACTTGTGATACTGAGGAATACAAGACTATGGGCCAAGTGCTGGAAAATAGGATTAGAATAGTTAGATGGTTGTTTTTGACTGGCACAGACTTGTTGGGCCGAAGGGCCTTCTTATGAGCTGTGAACCTCTATGACTTTATTAACATAAGACCATAGGAAATAGGAACAGGAGTAGGCCGTTTGGATGGTCGAGCCTGCCCAGTCATTCAGTTGGATCGTGGCTGATCTGACACTCCTCACGTCCACTTTCCTGCCCTTTCTCTGTAATACGATTAAGACTGATCAAGACTCTATCTACCTTAGCCCTAAATATGCACAAGGACTCTGCCCACCCTCCTCTCCTTGCCACATACTCTCTGTGACAAGAAGTTGCAAAGACTGTCAATCCTCCGATAGAATAAATTCCTCTTCATCTCAGCCTTAAATTGACACCTCTTTATTCTGAGACTATGCATTCTCATCCTAGACCTTCCCATGAGGGGAAACATCCTTTCTGCATTGACCCAGTCAAGCCACTTAAGAATCTTATATGTTTCAACGAGATCTCATTCTTTTAAACTCCAATGAGTAGGGTCCCAACCTGTTTAGTCTTTGCTCATAAAACAATTCCTCCATATTGGGGACATCCTAGTGAACCTTCCCTAAATAAGGGGACTAAAACTACTTGCAGTACTCCAGATGTGGTCTCATATTCATCTTGAACCGTTGCAGTAATACTTCCCTACTCTATACTCCAAACCCAGTGAAATAAGGGCCAACATTCCATTAGCGTTC